AGTATGACTTCAAAACTACAAGTCCACGTTCATTAAAAGTAACGTTGAATGAAATGCTTGCTTGAAAGATACGCCTTCACTCTCTTTGAAAACGCCTCTTCGTTTCCTTAATGTTTTATCCAATTTAATGAAATAAAAATGTTTACCTTTTGCAGATATCTACACCTGAACGAAATAGAAGACATTCCCGCATTCACATTCAATGACCTTACCGCTCTTGAACGATTGTAAGTTCAAGCTTCGAAAATCAGACGTTTAAAGTTTATTTTCTTTTTGTTTAGTTCTCCTGGGTTGATCTCAATGATGCTTTCATGGCTGATGTAAAATAACTCATGTTGCTTTTCAGGTATCTTCATCACAACCGCCTAAGATCTGTTCCAAGGGGATTGTTTAAAAATTTGGAGTCATTAAGAAGACTGTAAGTTTGGATGTCTCGGTCACTTTCTGCTAAAAATCATAGGGTACTCTTCTCGTGATCATAAAACTTGGACTTGCCCAAGAATCAGGAAGTTCCCATGGATTTACATCGCTATCTGTAAGCCTTTGTTAGTTAACAGTGTTAAGTGTTACAGGTCATTTCCTGCTTGATGCAGAGAGGTTGAAGTGAAGAACAGTTAGGCCTGATCTCATAAGCAACTCACCGTGTTTCTCCCGTTTACTCAAATTAAGATCTCGGGCGACAAAATGCTGGGTTTCGGCCAATATGACTAAAAAGCCTTGGTCGATATAACTCTAGTTTATAACTTCGGTCGTAGTGCCTTTCGGACAACTTGACCGTTCACCACTATGTTCATAAAACTTAGAGTTACCCACAAACCGCGAGGTTCTTATGGATTTACGTTATGATCTTTGGAGTTGGTTCAACGACATCTAATTCGATCTTGGGCAATTTTTTTCGGAATTACGAATTAGAATTCCAAACTAAAAATCCTCTGTAACCCGCATAGGCGCAAGACTTATCGAAAAAGAGATGAAGTTGAAAGCACTAAATTCTTAAGCTAAGGTATAGTTGTTGTTAACCGCAGCCGACTCGATTCCAACCCACTGAACTGTACCTGTGATGTCCTGTGGCTTTCTCAGCTGCTGAAGAAGACACCAAATACGGAGACAGCGGCTACTTGTGGTGAACCACCCCGCCTAAGAGGGACAGCTTTAGTGCGTCTTACTCCAGAAGACGTCAACTGCAGTGAGTTAGTCTGATGTACTTCCCCCTACGATTTTGCAAGGGTTTTAAATTATTTTTTCCTCTAATGAATTACCTACAAGCTTAACTGGGCTCACGGAAGGCAATTGTCTATTTTGAATCCCCATCTTATAATCAATAATTTTTGTGGAGAAGGAGTGGAAGAAATGGTTAAGTTTCTCAGGAAAAAAAAAACAACGAGTTTCTGATTATGACGCCAAGCTTGCTTTCAAACAGTTTTCTCGCCACGTTTTCACTAGTCCTCACTACGCTGGCTTTTTCGCAGAATCAACGATCGTTTCGCAATTCTTGGATATGAGAGTTTCATAGAAACTTCAGGCTTCATTCGATAATACGGATGTTTCCCAGCAAACGCGGGGCCAAATTTCTGGACAACTGGAAATTTAGCAAACAAGGGAAAAAGGAAACATTACTTTGATATCAACAAGAGTTATGACTTTGAACGTTTTATGAATTATACCTCCTTAAAAAAAGGTATTCGTCCATACAGTGGGCAGTGGTATCAGCTATTAATGTTGATCTGTTGTTTCCATCCCCAGTACCACCATCGTTTGTAAAAAGGCCAGCCAACATAGAAGTCTCAGTGCGAGATCGTCAGGTGCTGTTCAGATGCCTTGCCACAGGCAACCCAACACCGACTATATCATGGCGGAAAAACGGCAAGCCCCTAAAGCCGGACACACGTCATGTCATGAGCGAGAGCGGCGCGCTAAGTATTTTTGATCCTAAGTTTGACGATGAAGGAAATTATGAGTGCGTGGCAGAAAATTCTGCTGGGGAGATCGTCAGTAAGGCAGCACTAAATTATCATGGAGTTGAAGGTACAAAATGATACTCTGTGTCAGTATATTAATATGTAGGAGGTCGCATATGATTGATAAGGGTTGGTGTGAATACCATTTCATCCTCTTTCCGGCTAAAATTGACTTTCTGCCAATTCACCTTAGCAGAACATTCCCTTTTCGGTTTCCTTGTGAAAGAGACCCCTTTATTTGTCATGGGGTATTCCTTTCGAAAACCTTCCCTAAGCCATTGATAAGTGGATTTTCTCCATATTAAATCTAAAAGCTTTGTATAATTATTCTGCAGCTGCTATCTGAGCTGACAACTTGTCGTGTTAAATCCTAGCTCCGCCGTTCCTCGTCCAGTACCCTCATTCCAAGGTGGAATCTATTGAAGGCAACCCAGTGACTTTCACTTGCCGCGCCCGCGGTAACCCTAAGCCTGTTATCGAATGGACTAAAGAAGGAACACCGCTGGCCTTTATTCATCATTATAGAGTCTTGCCATCCGGGGATTTGTACATTCCGGAAGTGCGCGTCGTTGATCATGGGATGTACAGATGTCGCGCATCCAACAGGGCTGGAGCCGTGGCAGCGACGACCAGATTGACTGTGACGGGTAATAAGAGACATCTTAGAAAAAAAAAACCCTCTTTCTATCGGTTTTGTAACTTTAAAAACCAGCACAGGATCTTGGAATAGAATGAGAACGATTTATAAATTAGGTGTCGAAGGCGATTGCTTGCTTTCGAAATAGCGAAAAAACAAAACGCAGTTGTGCGCACCTTTTTTGTTCCGTTCGTTTGTGCTGCTGGCTGTTAAGTGATCAGCTGAAGCAGCGTGTACGATACTTGAGAAAACAGATCCCGAAAATATTTTTACAACGCGTTTTTTCTTCTTTTTTTTTTCTTTAATTTTTACCATTCATTTAGCTCAACCAAAATTTACTACAAGACCCGAAAATACTGAAGTATTAGAGGGAAGTACGACGGAATTAAATTGCCGAGTCAGCGGTTACCCACTACCAGCTATCGCCTGGACCAAAGATGGCGACCGACTTCCGTCACCAGACCGTCATATTGTCCTGCCATCGGGGACTTTACGAATATTGTTTGCGTCACGAAGTGACCAGGGACAGTATGAATGCCAAGCGATTAACATCATCGGAGTGAGACTGGCGAGAGCATTTCTGACAGTGAAACCTCGAGGTTAGACGAATGACTTCAGTTACGATTAGTTAGCGGGAGGCAGTGGAGCGGGGATATCCTTTAAATATCCAAGGGAAATCCCGGGGAATTCACTCTAGAAACTACTGAATTCCTCGTGGCCATTGGGTAATTTAAGTTGGAGACCAGGCAGAAGTTGTTTAAGTTCAAGTGCACGCCAACAGCAAACGTTCAGAGCCTGAGACTTGTTCGTCACTAATACATGTGATGTTAACCCTTTAACTCCCATAAGTGACCAAGACAGAATTTCTCCTTACAATATCAATACAATATCAAGCAGGCAGGTGATGAGAATAGAGAAGAATATCAATCATGGGATTATTAGATGATCCAATACCAAATTCTCTGAACTAACATCATAAGAATAGTATGGCAGATAGTAAGGAGAATTACTAATTAGATCTTGGGAGTGAAAGGGTTAATAGTAACTCTTTTCCTCTCTTTTTATTTTGTCTTTACATCACTTTCTTTTTAGTTCCTCCCTCCATTGTGGAATCCCCCACAGACATCATTGTGACCGCTGGTCGCACAGTTGAAATTCGCTGTTCAGCTTATGGCGCCCCTAAGCCAATAATAACATGGATCAAAAACAATGTACACATTACAGAAGCGAACAGGTATTCTGTGAGCAAATCCGGGACCTTAAGCATCCGGGATGTTGGAAAGACTGATGAAGGGCGTTACGAATGCGCAGCACGCAACAGCATTGGCGCCGCGTCTGCGCAGATGACACTAACAGTACAGAGTAAGATTTATCTTGACTTTCACCCCCATTTTCTCGTGCATTTATTATTTCTAGGAATTTTGCAATGACAAAATTATATTTTCTCTGTACAATCATCACGACAAGATATTATCTGGCTAGAATAGCGTCGGTCAGTTTTGCAATTTTTACTTTCTATTTAGCATTTTTCCTCCCAGAAAGCATCAAGCACAATGGCCGTCTGTTTTTGTCAAAGTACAATGAAAGTGAAACAAAAAAAAAAAAATTTGCTGCGTTTTAAAAGGAGCGATTCCCCAGAAAGAGATGGTACGGCTCCTTCATGAATTGTTCAATTTACCGTAAACGAAACGTTAATACTTCCTGAAAGTTTTTTGCTATTGCTGAAGACGCAGATCTCATTTAAACTAGGGGGTGAGGGGGGCAGGCGTTACTGTGCATGTTTACAAGATAGTAAAGATTTACCTCGCTAGGATGCCTCTAGCCATCGAAAAATCCGCCGCTTCTTCCATATGCACGCCTTATTCCCGTGAATTTCACACATGGTTAAGGAAGCACGTTGTAGAACATGGTAGTCTTAAATTATGTTAGTGATAGAAATAGCATTAAAACGAACGAGGAATCTTGCCTTTCAGTTCCCTCGGATGAAAACCGTATCGGCATTGATGTTATCAACCGAACAATTGGTATAGCCAGGGAAAACGTTAACAGAGCAATAAACGCCAGCATAAAAATGCTGTTTTCTTCTTCACAACCAAGGAAACCCAGCGATCTTCTCGCTTTGTTCCGCTTTCCGTCTCCTGCGGCTCAACAGATCGCAAAATCTGCCGAAATCTTCGAACGCACGATCCAGCTTGTCCACGAGCACGTCAAAGAAATGGATAGGGTGAACATTAGCAACGAGAAGTACAATTTCTTTCATCTGTTGTCTCCGCAGCACGTCAGTGTTATCGCCAACTTGTCGGGATGTAGTGCTCATCGCCGAATCAACAACTGCTCCGACATGTGCTTTCACCTCAAGTACCGCACGATCGATGGTACATGCAACAATCTACAGCATTCCATGTGGGGAGCCTCACTGACACCTTTTAAACGTCTGCTAAGTCCCGTTTACGAAAATGGTTATAACACGCCGGTGGGTTGGCAGGACACGGAGGGGCGCCCAAGCGCGCGTCTTGTATCTACAGAACTGGTGTCATCTAAAGAAGTCAGCGAAGATGAAAAGTTCACTCACATGTTGATGCAGTGGGGGCAATTCCTCGATCACGATATTGATTTTATTGTGAGTAGCTTAAGCACGCTCAGGTTCAGCGATGGTCTCGACTGCACAAAAAATTACGGGTTTTGTGATAATCAGCCACCATGTTTTCCTATCGCAATCCCGGACAACGACAAACGCATCAATAATAATGGACATAAATGTCTGCCTTTTACTCGTTCGAGTGCAGTTTGTGGCACGGGGATGACGTCCGTGTTTTTCAGTGCTGTCACTCCCCGGGAACAGATGAACCAAATCACCTCGTACATCGACGCATCAAATGTTTATGGCTCATCAAAAGAGGAGGTGATGAACTTGCGAGATTTAGAAAGTAGAGGACTTCTTAAATCAAACTCCAGCATCGGCAGTGGAAAACCCTTGCTGCCCTTTAACCGCGACACTCCTATTGAATGTCTTCAATCCGAAGACAGTCCTGTCCCGTGTTTCCTTGCGGGAGATTTCCGCGCCAACGAACAGCTCGGTCTGCTGTCGATGCACACAATATGGGTGCGCGAACACAACCGCATTGCGCAGGAGCTAGGAGACTTGAATCCCCACTGGGATGGGGATAAAGTGTACCACGAGGCACGCAAAATAGTGGGGGCCGAGATGCAACATATTTCCTACACCGAATGGCTCCCTAAGATTCTTGGCCCTCAAGGAATGGCTCTCATGGGGACCTACAATGGATACGAACCAAATATTGATGCAGGGATCGTCAACGCTTTTGCAACAGCAGCCTTTAGGTTTGGTCACGGACTAATCAATCCGATACTCTTCCGTCTCAACTCTTCTTTTCAACCAATCGAGCAAGGAAATATTCCTCTACACAAAGCGTTCTTCTCACCCTATCGGCTGGTCACCGAGGGTGGAGTGGACCCAATTTTGCGTGGGCTCTTTGGAAGGGCCGCCAAGAGTCGAGATGACAAACATCAGCTTATAAATTCGGAGCTCACAGAGAGGCTCTTTGAAATGGCTCATGAGGTAGCCCTCGATCTTGGTGCGCTCAACATACAAAGAGGACGGGATCATGCGTTACCAGGTATGCGAGATGAAATTATTTGTAAACCTGCCTCACCTTACCATCTTCAATTGAAATGTCGATTATTGTGATGCGCAGTATGCAGGGTACGTGTCAGATAAAGCTGGTATGTGGTCTCTTTAGCTTAGCGGTAAAGCATGCAACCAAGGTTGCTTGATAACTCGGTTTATGAAAGCGCTGCTCCAGTTTCACAGGACGTTCATTGGTTCGTCTAAATATTTCGTCAAGCTTCACCCTCACAAACTCTTAAGATGTGTAAATAACTTTGATTAAATTTCTCATATAAAAAAGGTGACAAATGAACTGCTTAGTAAAGATTATTTCCCTGTATATAGTTTATCCTATATATATGCCGGAATAATCTGTAAAAAGAAAATATATTGTTTACGTGTTTCTTGCAGGATACAATAGTTGGCGTGGTCTTTGCAATCTTTCCGTGGTAGAAACGTTTGATGATCTTAAAAACGAGATTGTGGATAGCGATATTCGCGCCAAGTTGAAAGAACTGTATCAACATCCATCAAACATCGACTTGTGGGTGGGAGGACTCCTGGAGGAATTGGCACCTGGTGCCCTCGTTGGACCAACATTTACTTGTATCATTGCTGAACAGTTTAGACGAACGAGAGCTGGAGATAGGTAAGAACAGATTAGAATTACTTTCCGTTCTTCCTGTTGACGCGAATGTTCCAGGACAAAATGTCCGATGGCCGAATGATTATGGGTTGTTTTTGAGGTGCTCTGCTCAGACTCCTTTCCCGAATAGTTGCTTGTTACGAGGTTTATCCAAGATAGCGATAAACTGACTGAATGATTCGAACTGTAAAGATTCGTTGAGTAGCTGCTTGAGGGATCCAAGTTTGCGTGTCTGATATTGAAGTTTAGAATTGTCCAGCTGATTGTTAGACTGATGGAATACTTTGGATTGTTTTTTTAGATTGTTTGACTGCTAGCAGCTTAGTCTTAATGGAAGAGAACCTTTAAATAAGATCTCTAGGACACAGCAAAAATTCTTCAATGGTTTGACCCTTTCACTTCGAGGAGTGACCAAAAAGAACTTTTTGCTTAGGATTGAAAATTTAAAAAATATCAACGCATGGGTTTTGTATGATTAAACTCCAATTTCTCCAATCTTGAATTATAAGAAGTATTTGGGATTGATACCAAAGATCTTGGTAGTTAAACGTTGAATTCTTTTAAAATCAATTTGAAAGCGAATGGCCGGGAGAAAGCCATACTTAAACTTAACTTTTCTCTCGGTTTCTATCAAGCCAACAGGAATCTCACACTATGGAATCTAACTATAATTCATGCAGCAGAGACCTTTTGAGTCCTTTTCTGTTTTTATTTCATGAGAAAAATCCCTTTATCCTCATACATTAGAGGGCGCTCTGTCACATTTTACCTGGATCTTTTGAGCTTGTCATTTGGTATCCGTGTCAACCCTCGCCATTCGTAGCCATCCTGCCCCTTCTTTCTACAATATCATCTCTTTGAAGTTTGTTATTTCAATTTTTCATGTCACTCAAAGACTTTTGTTTAGGACGCAGGATATTGCTACGTGGCTCCCTTCCACCGATATAGTGTAATCTAGAAAAAGACTCTGAACTCCCCTCAGAAAACTAAGAAGTGCTAACGTCTTCATTCCTCCTTTAGATTCTGGTACGAAAGCCCATCCACTTTTGATCATTCTCAGTTGATTCAAATCAAACAAACGTCGTTGGCTAGCGTGTTGTGTGACAACGGGGATGCGATTGACCGGGTTCAGCGGGACGTATTTCTCCGCGCCACCTACCCCGAGGGATATGTGTCGTGTTCTTCCATTCCCCGCATGGATCTCCGCATGTGGAAATATTGCGAGCATGGTTTGTATCAAGTCACTTAAGTAATGTAACTTCATATACGAGTCGTTGTTTTTCAATCCTATTTTTTTTCTTGGGAACTTAATGTGATCTGATATACTACCTCTCTGCAATTGTTCCCATGCCACTACAAATCATCCCCTTGGTGTTGCAAAGAGTTCTGTATTTTTATCTTATTCATTTTTCAAGATCTACTACCACAAATTACACAATTCGCAGCACTAACATTATTATCTAACATACAAGTATGCCAGGGGCACTGGCTAACCTACATTACTTGCTTTCACGAAACTGCACTGTTCCTTAAAACAGTACTTTGTCAAATACAGAAATAATCTAAGTAGTGTGTGGTACTAGACCAGGGTTGTGTCTTGCAATATCGCCAGCTTAGCCTTGTCAACTTGATTCGAAGTCCTGCTAATTACGTATTCCTGTCTTCAGGTCACTGCTCCACCCCAGACAACACCCCTACGTTCAGTAATCATATTCAGGGACGTTTGTTTAAGCGATCAGTGGAGGAATATTTCTCAGAAACAGAAAATCAAAGACACGAGGAAGAGGAAGAAAATAATGATCCGAACTTGGAAGAAGGAGAGAAGCTTGTTACATCGCCAACCGAGGACGAAAAAGAAGGAGTAATTGAGTTTACCTCGGAAGAAAACATTTTGAGTTTGAATAAAAGAGTTCAACTTCTTGAAAATACAGTAGCAAAAATGGCTAACACTTTGACCACATTAGAAGACGCATTTAAAAGTCTACAAAAACAGGCGAGTGCCTATCCTGAGAAGTCGTGTTAAAGCTAGTTTCAAGCGCTATATTTGGAAATGTATTATACGTATTATACGCTTGTAAAATGCGTGAAAGACGCGTGCGCTCAGTCATAAATTGAACCAAGATTTCGTCTCTTGTTTGACCCGTAAACATGTGGAAACGCTGTGGCTATTGTCTTTGATTTATTTCTAAACTTAATGATTCATCAAAATGATGTAACTTTTTAATCTAATTGGTCTAAGATATCGGAAGCATTGATTGAGATGTTTTATCCTGTTGTCACGAGCGTGGAACAAAGAAAAAATTTGGATTCCCATGAGGAATCGAACCTCAGACCTTCGGGTGAAAGCATGAATATTGAATAGTGTTTTTCTGTTTTATACTTAATATACTGCTCGTTTTACTTGTAATAGATTTTGTATGAAGGTAGCTTATGTAACCAACTCACCAGCTATGAATTTAAGAGGAGTTTAATTTTTTTGACGACTCGATCGAGCCCTTCTACTTACACGTCATTGCCAGTATATATAGTATTACGAACATAACACATTAAAAACGGAACAACTAATTACAAGATTGGAAATGACATAGAACAAACGAATAACAGGAAACACGAATAACAAAGGAAATACCAATAACATAAATGCGACACTCGACTACACGACAATTTACGTGACGATTTTGGAATACGGCTGGCATAAGAACGTTATCGGGATTGCATTTTAACTCGAGCTCTTACCTTTAATTTGCGTGATCCGCGCGAAAGTCGAACTTAAATGAATGGCCGCGCAGACTGGGGCTAGGCAGGTGAATGCTTTCTACAGCTTAAAATTAAACTGATATGCTAATTCTTTAAACAGGTTGGAGAAACAAAAGAAAAAGCAAAAACGAAAGAAACAAGAAGTTGTGGAGTTGTTCAAGGCAGTGCTCGTCAAGAGGGGGAAACGTGGCAAAAAGATGTTTGTACCAATTGTTCATGCAAAGTAAGTGATTTTGTTTTCATAATCTTCAAATCAAGTGTAATCACTTCTTTGTCTGATGCAGAAGACCTTTTTCCCCTTCTGTTCTGCTGGTATTGCTGTACATTTTGAAAATGTTTGCCTGATCGATGACTCCTATGTCGTGATTTGCGGTCCGTCTAAAACCTTTCCACCATTGGCCATTTGTACTTCATTCATATTAGGTACTACTCTACCTTAATAACACGTTATTTAGAATGACATGTAGATGATATTGCATGACCTCACGTGGATCGATGCGAATGAAATCTTCGAGTGAAGTATTGTTAAAAATGTATCCATAATGGTAGCCAGGGGGGATTAGATTCGGGAACAGGGGCTCTCCTTGTAAAAATTTGTAATGTACCACCTCCTCCCTGCCGCTCCCGCCTCCGCCAACTCCTCCCCCCTTCCGCCCCTCCCCTTCTACCCCTCCCCCCTTCCGCCTTCCCCTACCACCCCATTCCACCCCCTCCCTTTGGTTCATTAAGTACCGGGAGTAACTGTTGTTCCCACAGTGTCACTATGCTAAGGAATACTATTTGCAGTGATCATATGGGGATAACAAAAGAACCCTTTTTTTGTAGGAAGGAGAAGTTCAGTGTAATGAAATAATATGCAAAGAGGTTTCATGTAAGGAATATTACCGGGATGATAATGAATGCTGCCCGCGTTGTTTAGGTAAGTTGGAAAAAAGAAGTTGAGTTTCCTTCTTTTAATCCCTTAAACCATAACATCAGTATGCATATTCTCAAAACTGCTCTTTATCCATTTTCTAAGGTGCTGAGAAGGAGAATTTGTTTATCAATCAAAAACTTCTTTCCTTGGTGATCATTTCCATTATTCTCATAACCTTAGCGCGTGATTCGGGGATGATATTGAAGAGATAAATTTCAATTGATGCTAGTCACTCTTAGCGTTTTAAGGGTTAAAGAAAGGTCTGGCACGTAAGCGGTTCTTGTCTCTCAAATCAGCTGTTAATTCTTAGACGGGCTCAGGCTAAATACAACCTTATCGGCTCTTGACCCTTTAACTCCCATGAGTGACCAAGACAGAATTTCTCCTTACAATATCGATACAGTATCAACCAGATTAGTCATGAAGATAAAGAAAGATGTTAATTTGGGGATAATTAGTGGATCCAATACTAAATTCTCTAAACTAACATTATAAGAAATGTATGGTTGACAGTAAGGAGAATTACAAATTTGATCTGGGAGTTAAAGGGTTAAAAGTCTGGCCACTTTTATTCTAAAGAACCTTTTTTCACATTGCTTTCACGCTGCGTTAGAGGAATTTAATATTTAAAAGTTTTTTTCTGAGACTGAAAAAAATGAACAAGTGACTGTGTGTTTAAAATAATTTGCGTCAGGACGAACTGTAGGCAAAAACGCAGATAGATTGTGATCTATTTATACAATCTTATTCCGAAATTACAGCATTAAATAATTCTTTATTTGCACAGAGTAAAATGGTGGCTTTGCTTGTCAAGTACCACGGTGCATCAGCTGTCACTTATGCGGTTACCATGGAAACTACCTGGTCTCTTATAGCAGTCAAGGAAAGATTCTAAGTGAGACTGATGTAACTTAAAGCGACCACGGAGACCTCAGGCGTGTATTTTAACATGAGATTCATTTCTTGCTTGCAATATGCTGCAGTGCCTCGGGCAGAGATTTTTCTTCTGTAAGGGATGCTATATCTTAGGAGCTTTGGGCTATGGGATAGATAACATAAATTGCGATGCTGTTTAGTGAAAATTATGATGATTTTTTTAGATCATGCATTTTAAAAGTCAATTGCATTTTGTAAATTTTTTCCATAAGTTCTTTGTGTAGTGTATTGTTAAGAAATGATAATCATGTTTCCAAATTCTTTTTTTCTGTTTTCTCATTTCTTTCTTGAATCAATGAGATTTCAGTCGAGATTTAAGGCTTTTTCTCCCTTCGCTATATGTGCAGCCCAGAGTAACAGTGCTTATTGCGTGCACCGATTGCCCATCTGGGAAGTTATTTTCAAGTACTATCCATCTCCGAAAAGACAAAACCGCGCGTCAAGAGTTAAATTTGCGATCATGCTTCCTTATATTGACCGATAGAAATTACTTCTTTAGTTATCTTGTGGTATTTATCAAAACAATTATTTCTCTCTGTTCGGTTAAATGGTGGATATTCACCTCTCTGCTTTGTAGTTTATTAAATTTCCTGCACGTTTCACATTTGCTTCGTTGAATAACTGTTGACTGTATTCTTATGGACTTACATCAAAGTCATCTGCGTCCGAGACGCATTGAAGAGGAAGATTATAAACACAGTCTT